AAGAATGGGCTACCATGTACACTCAAGGTGCGATTGGGCTGCAGCCAAAAAGGAAACAACATGAATCGGGGGCGCCAGTTCATTTCCCATCTGCACGTGTTTTATCCACTTCATTCATGCGCCGTCGTCTGGGGCGGCGCTCACGCTCGGATGCAGTGGCCATCGCGTGGTCATCATCTGCCCATGGCGACGCCGGGCTGGCGAACGGACGCGACTGTGCGAAATGACTCGAGATGGCAGGCCTAGCTAGCCGTCTTGGCCCAGCGGCAGCACCACTGGCATTTGTTAGTGCCTGGTCGCGAGGCCTTGCGCTCTGCTGCTGTGCACCAGTCAACATTGCAACCTGGCTGGTGAAAGGCTTCATCTCATCTCACACTCCCGCGACCGCACGTACGGCCAAGGTACTTCCGGCATCGGCGTCGTAATCACTTCATTCTGGTTTCCGCCCCTCTGGAAGCAATGTTGATTGTCAAATCAATACTTGGGCCCGCGTGGGTCCAGAATAGGAAACCGGCTCATTTCAGGGCCTCACAGAATTAGGAAGTGTCGCGTGGGAGTAATCACGGCTCGCTCGCCGAAGGCGATCGTCGTGGTCCTCGCTCTCGTTCTGCTGGGCTTGGCAGTCCAGCCTGTCCTCTTCTCGGGCGCAATCGCAGAGAAACATTGTTTCGATCGCCCACGCAATCTCCCACGGGAGACGCTTTCCACAACTCGCTCTTACCGAGCCTTCCAGAACGCCTCTTTGTTTCTCCTAACATCTTTGTCGGCAGCGTGGTGCCCTGCTGGCGAGAAATCGAGTTGAAGAAGACGGCTTTTCTTGGGTGTCTTCCCCCGGGTCCCCACAAGCTACCTCGACGGTCGCCATGAGTCTGTGATACATAGTACAGGTACAGGGCATCGAGGACAGACAGGGCAACGGGACGACTTCCTGAATGGGCACCCCCTGCTGGTCGAAGGAAACCCCCCTTCCCTTTGTACCCCGGACATCCGCTGCAGGGATACGGCGCTGCTGTCGCGTTTCAGGCGACGATGCACCGCCTCCTTCCCAGCAACGACGGACGACTTACTGTCGACGGGCGATTGACCATCTAGCCGCGATGGATAAGACGGGACTGGGGAAAAGGAACAGCACAAAATACAGGACGACATCTGCCAGCCAGGACGGAACAACGGCGTCCCATTCGGCCATCGTTTGATGTTAATGGCACCTGGTCTGGGCACGGCAGCCGATCCCGCAGCTGGCCGTGTCGCCCTGCACCTCCCCGAGACCGTGCCGAACGCTCGCGACATGTCGTCCCACAGATCGATAGCCGTTCTATGTTAACCTCGAACGACGGATCGTCGTTCCCCATATTCGTATTCTCCTACAGTGCTCACGGAGGTCGCCGGCCATGATGGTTTGCCGATCCCATCCCACATGAGCCGATGCTGTTTCGCAATAGAATACTCCGAGAAAAACATCCGAACTTTCTTTCATGCCGTGCCTGGATCGTCCCCCCGCTTCCCTTTCCTTCATGCCGTGCCTGGATCATCACTCCGCCTCCCTTTCCTGCTGATCTACTCAGGTTCGGGGCGGCAGACGGAGTCAATGCATAAACTGCTGCGGCCCCGAGCCTCATGCGCACCGCCCCTTACTTTAGAGATATTATAGCATAGGCGTATCCGAACCATATCTCGTCGGTTGTGTACCTAATCGATCACTCGGTGGCCTCCATTGTTCTGTTGCTTTAGCGCTGGCCAGCTGGATTGTGCGTGCCAAAACAGGGGGGCAAAATGGGCCGATGCCCCTGTTTGACAATGATGGACGGACGAACAAGGTTTGATCACCTGACTTGAAGAACAACAATGGCGAATAGAGAGGGGCATCACGACAGAAGATCGTGGAGCGACCTTGCGTCTAGCTCACAACTCTGATTCAAGTAAAGTAATCATCCCTGCTGCATCCTCTTGAGTCTCTCCTCGGCCGCCCGCGCCCTGCGTTCGCGGTCCAGCCGCATCCTCATCTCGGGCGTCGACCCTCTAGCCTCCTCCTGCCGCCTCTCTTCTGCCGACTTCATGGGCCCCCGACCATCGAGCCCCAGCGGCGTGCCCTTCCGAGCCTTGACGACCGGGCCTTCGACCTTCAGTCTCTCCTCTTCTGCCTTGCGCCTCTCAGCCTCCTTGCCCTCGCGCTCCTTGCGGTCACGGTCCTCGCGTTTGTCCGCATCGACCTTGGTCATGGCGGTCGGCACCCCCGCAGCGTCCCAGTCCCACCTGTCCTCGCCGAGCTCTGAACGGGCAACGCGAAAGGCATCTCGCGTTGCGCGATCTCCGGCGATTTCAAAGGCCGTCTTGCCCTGTTCGTTGCGATAGCTGGGGTCGGCGCCGCCGCGGACGATGAGGCCAAGCACGACGGGAGCTGAGTTCTGGCTCGAGGCAAGATGGAGCGGCGTCGGCGCGTGATGGTTCTGCTCCGGGGGCTGGAATACGAAGTCTGGCGAGACCTTGTTTGTGTTGAGATAGGATAGCAGGGCGGGGAGCTTGGAGCGTCGGATCAGAGCCTGGATCTGAGAGGTATGCAGCAGGGCTGTCTCTTCTTCTTCGGAGAGTTTGGGCTTCGTCGGCTTAGGCGCCGCTGGTTTCGCCACAGCCGGCGCCTCGGCTAGGGCTTTTGCCTTTGCCTCTGCTTCGGGGTCGATCTCGCGGACCTTGAGGCGTGTGAGTTCGATGAAGGAGCGCATCAGCTCGTTCTGCGTGGCGCGACGCGTGCTGAAGGGGAACCCGCGTAGTCGTGCATCGTTGTGCCGTAGTACCTGTCCATCGTACGGGCCGAAGAGGGTCCTGCGATTCGTCGAACCCGTCGCGCGGATGAAGAGCAGTTCCGACGTGTCGAGGAGACCCTTCCAGTCTTGCAGCAGGGCCCTGACATCGTCGATGAGTGCCTGCTCGTTGTAGCGTCGTATGCTGGCGCCGGCTGAATGTGCGGCGCCTTTGGCGTTATCGTTTGCCGACTGCGAGCCACCTTGTTTCCTTCGCGTCGTGTACCGGTGAAACGTCTTGTGGGCGAGCACCGTTGCCTCCCTGTTCAGCGGGCCCGTCGCGCCTTTGCCCGGCCGGGGCGCGAGAGAGACGACCATGGCGGCGAAGTGGCCGCCGCCGATCATGCAGAGGAAGAAGTGAGGGCCCTTGTAGGCGATTTCGGGAAGAATGCCGTCCTTGCCGACCTTGGGCATGGCGAGGGGTTCGAGCTGCTTGGCCTTGACGACGTCAACCATCTTGGGCTCGAGACGCAGGTCCTCTGCCGTCAGGATGGCCCGGTAGAGGCCGAAGAAGTGATTCTTGGGCAGGACGGACGAGGTGAACCATATCAGTGGTGGTTTCCCTGGATTTCGTCTAGATCTCGACAGGCTTCCCTCGCCGTCATTGTCCTCCTTGTTGTCGTTGTTCTTGTCGGCAATGACGGCTTGTTTCTTCAGTAGCGCTGTGAGGGTTGTCTCCTTGCGCGCGTTGTCGCTGTCGTCGTCATCTTCGGTGTCTTCCGAGTCGGAGCCGGACAAGCTCTCGTCGAGGTCTGGAAGAAGAAGAAAAAGGCGGCAAGGTCAGCGAAAGGGTTGCGAGGACGGGGGGCGGCGAACGGCTCATCATACCGCCAATCAACTTTTCAAAGTCCACCTCTGACACGGCGGGGCTTCCGCGAAGCTTTTGTTTGAGGTTGTAGTGGTGCCAGTCGGATTTGAGGTGGCTCCTCTGGTCCAGCAGGGAGGCGAAGCTCAGTCCGCAGAGGGAACAGGCCTGTGAGCCAACAAGACTCTCTTCTGTGTCATTTTTCCTCTTTTGCGACTGTGCCCTTTGTTCCTCGAGAAGCTGGGCCTCGTTGTCGACGTCTGTCTTCAGAGCGAGGGTGGTGAGGACTTCGGGGGGCAGGTCGTAGACTGGCGCTGATCAGCCAAACGTCATGGTGGCGGGGTAAGGAGGGGAGCGATTCGTACCGTAGAGGGGCCGCCGAAGAAGTTCTTCGTGCTGCTTGTCCATTGGGGAGATGTCGCGTGTCGCAGGTAGGTGCTCAAGAATGCGTGGTAGGCGGAAGACGTGTAGCGTATCGCTCGTGTACTGTTGTCCTGGCGCGGGCATGCAGTGTTGGTGCCGATCCTCGAAGCAGGGCAGCAGTTTTTGGTTGCAGCTGGCAAGCTTAAAGTTGCCCCGCGATGGTGACGAATTTGGGGTGGGCACGTCTGACGGCGGAGCGTTGACTCAACCGGTCAAGCATCGTGCGCCCCGCTGGTACCTAGCTACCAAGCTACTACCATGTAGTACTTGCCTACCTTAGCTACCTAGGTAGCTTGCCTAGGTACTGAGGTTGCCCCGCATCGTGTGGCTGTGCGATGAGCTTGTTTCGTGCTCACCCCAACTTGGCAGGGACCTTCCAGCCTGGTGGCAGGCAGCTTCCTTTTGGGAGTGCGACGGCGTTCGCCCGGTACCTGCTAAATACAGGACAGTGCAGGCCGGCGGCTGGTAGTTGACAGCTGCTCTTGCCCGTCTAGTGCCACATCAAGCTTGCCTCGACGTCATTTCGCTGCCCCCCTCCCCTCACTTTGCTCCTGCTCCTGCTCCTGCTCCTGCTCTCTGTGCTGGTGATATCAGTGCGCCAGTGCCACATGCTAGCGCCGCATCTCCTGCATGCCTGCTCCCGTGTGGCCCCCTCCAACATCATAATTGGCAGCGGCGCCCCCGCAAGGTGCCCTTGCCAGCTGAACAGCTTGCTTGGCTTGCTCGGCTTGCTTGTTAGCCTGCTTGCTTGTTAGCCTGCTGGAGCTTCCATGTCGAGTGATGTAACGAGGAGGCCTGCCGAAGCTGTGGTAGGCTGATGCTGCTGCTGGGAGGCCATCTCCGGCTCAATGCCCCTCTTTTCACCTCTGTGCCCTGCTTCTGCTGACCACAAGTCTGTCTCACCTTGGCAGCTTGCCTCGCTATATATTGCATCCATTGCCCAGCCTGTACTGTCTGCCTCTCCATTCCCTCTCGTCTTCGTCATCCCCCAAGAATCACAAGCTCGTCGTCCCTCATCCCTACTCCAATAACCAACAACCAACATGGACTTCGTCAACAACCTCACCGGCGGCGGCAACAACGCCCAGAACCAGCAGGCCACTGGCTCCAACGAGCAGCAGTCCTCGGGCGGCGGGTTCATGGACAAGCTCAACTCGGCTGCCGGCGGCGGCAAGGAGAGCGAGAAGAACGAGGACTTTGTCGACAAGGGTGCGACATGTCCTGTCTCTACAAGCCCCTCCCTTTCCCCATGCTGACCACCGTGCTAGGCGTCGACTTTGTCCAGGAGAAGTTCCTCGGCCAGGGTGCTCAGGACAACGAGAACGCCATTGAGCAGGCCAAGGACGAGCAAATCTCCGACTTCATCCGCGGCAAGTACAAGGAGACCACGGGCAGCGATGTCCCCATTGCCGATAAAGTACGTGAACATGCCTGTCTCCGAAGGAAACTGCTGTTTGCTAACGTTTGCCTACCTAGTAAATGTAATCAGTCCCCATCATGTGGACCTCTGCTTCTATTGTGTTCTTCGATTGTGTTATAGGGATGGATTTTCGCCGTTGGGAACCGGTTTGATGAAGCTGCAGAACTCTTGCCACAATCACGAATTGATGATTTCAAAGCCGTCCACCCGTCCTGCGTAGTTCGTGCGTCAGACTGTCCGAGAGACATATGTCATTCCGGGACGTGCCTCCAGTCGTCAGTCCGAGCCCTTGGGCAGCCAAAGAAAGACCTGTCGCATGTCGCCTGTCGCCTCGGCCACACTGCCACCAGCTGCTCCAACTTCTTTGTTCGTGGCGGTGTAAATGTAGGTAGTCCTGCGCTCGTCTAAAATCGAGGTCTGTCTTGGAGGTCTGTTTTTGAAGAGAAGTTGGAATACCTACAAACGCATACCCAGCAGCCGCATCTTGTGTCAATTTAAACGACAATCTGCACCGTTTGCGCTCACTTTGACCGCAAGCCCGCTGTATGTTCTCACTTGATCAAAGGCCCTTCCGGTATAATAGCCAGCGGCACCCTACCAGTACTCATCGGACTGATGTACAGCTCCTGCCACACCTGCGCTGCCATTGGCAAGGTCTGGGTCTGCGATTACACCAGGGATACCGAGGACTGCTCCTCAACTGGAAGACCATGGGCAGAGTCAGACTGATTTGATGGTTTTCATCTCTTACGAGAGCGTTCAGTGGCCTTTTGGAAACAGACTCGTGCCTTTTGCAAGCAGACGCGTTGGCGTCCCCCAAGGCCTACGAGTTCCTGGCCCCGCGAGCTTAATACCCCGAGATGAAGCCGGCGGCGATGAGGGGGCGGAAACCCAGCTAGCCGCAGATTTTTTTTCTGCCTGACTATATGCAAGTCAAATCCAAAATAAAAGTCTCGCTTCTGGGCGGCAGTATTTGACTGAGGAACACGGCGTACCCCCGGACCTAAGATCATAACGTCAAGGGAGTTCACTGGCTACGCCAATGTCCGGATCATAGAAGTCAGTTTGAGAGTCCTACTCTTATTCAAATGACAGCCTTAACACGGCACTCAAGGCACATGTGTCGGTGGCACGACCATGTCCAAGTCGTGATAATGCTTCGGGTGGAGAGCACGATGACGTCGTGTGGAGTGGCCTCGCTGTCTCCAGCCACGAGCTCCACCACCTGCAAAGTGTGGCTGGAACACCGCGAACCGCACTTCATCAGGACAAGACGGAACGAAGGAAGCACAGCTGTCTCTCACATCAGGATCCCCGTCCGTGTAGACACAGAGACCCATCACCATGGCGCCGCCATCAAGAACCCCGGCCAAGGCGGCCCCCAAGTTCGTCCATTGCGTCGGCAACCCCGCCTTCAACCCGGAGGACTACATCCAAGACGCGGCGCGCCAGCAGCGAGCGCTCGACTACCTCAAGAAAGACGACCTCTACTATGCGTCGCTCGTCACGTTCGGCCTGCCCGAGCGGGACACGTACACCTACCACGCCATGACGGCCGTCAAGCTCGGCCAGGTGCAGCACATCATCACGCTCGGCGGCGCCAACGACCTGCACGCATGGTACCGCGCCGCGCCGGAGGACGACAGCGCCAGCCGCTCCACCCCCCCGGGCACGCTGCCGCCCCTGCCGCCGCCGCCGCCCGCCGACACGGACGCCTACGTGGCCGTCTTCGCGCCGCACACGCAAACCTCGTCGGCCCTGACCTCGCTCGTCGCCAACGCCAAGAAGACGTCGCTGCGGGCCGCCGTGGGCGCGCACCTCGCGGCCCGGCGGCACATCCACGCAGGGCTGCCGGCGGCCTTCACGGTGCCGCGCTGCAGGCGCGGCGCGCCCTCGGCGAACCCCTACTTTGACTTTTGGGCCTGGTCCTGCCGCGCCCTCGAGTGGGCCGGCCCCTGCGCCGCGTCGGCCCGCCGCCCGGCGAGCCACCACGTGCTGCCCGTCTTCATGCACCACTTTGGCTGCGCCGTGCCGTCGCACGAGGGCCTCGAGCTGCTGCGCCTCGCCGCCGCCGGCCGGCCCATCGCCGACGTCGGCTCCGGCAACGGCTACTGGACCTTCATGCTGCGGCGCTACGGCGTCACCGTCCACCCCGTCGACAACATGCAGAGCGAGTGGCGCGTCAACTGGGTCGCCGACACGGAGATCGCCGACGGGCCCGCCTGGCTGCGGCGCCGCAACGGCGGCGCCGACCTCGTGCTGCTGCTCGTGTACCCCGTCGTGGGCGGCGGCGTCGCCGGCGGCGTCGAG